TTATTTTCTGTTCTATAACATGTATATTGATTCATCACTATGTGAATTATGTGATAGATTAATATTATGAAAACAGGAAATGTTAAGCAATTACACAACATTGTCATTATTATGAAATTAAAATTATTTTCAAATACTTACTACTAATATCAACCAACTTTTTGCCTCATCACTATTCTTATAGTTACCACAATCACATACAACCCTAGTACATTTTATTTGAACTGACTACGAACACTATAAACATTCCTACTAATAATATCACCATTTTGACCTATTTATATAGGTCATTACAAGCTTTCAAACATTTCATATTTGACTACTTGTCAACACTATAATTGCTTTTCCTTATAATACCACATTGTCACTTGTAACTGTTATGGTCAATAGGATTATTTTCCTATATATAAGCATTGGATTTTATTATAAAATCCATATGCAAGTTTAATTGATTTTGCATGTTTGTCTACTAAAAGCGAGAAAGTCAAATGCCAATTGAGCTTAGCTCAGACGGCATGAGCTCTTCTACACATAGGAGGTGGTTAGTTTGAGGCGTAATGCCCTCCACGCAAGTAAGGTAAGTAGATAGGTTTGGATGAGCTCTACTACACTTAGGAGGTAGGTAAGGTAAGTAGATGGATGAGGTCTTCTACACTTGGGAGGAGGCCATGGTTCAAGGCATAATGCCCTCCCTGCAAGTAAGGTAAATAGATGGGTTCCGAGAGTTTCAAAGGTAGATTAGGAAATTTAGAAAAAAAAAAGAAAGTCAAATTTTAAGTTAACATAAATAGTTAAAGAAACACATGGCAATTAATTAAACTCAATTGTGGAATATTTGAAATCCACCCCATGTATTAGGTAATAGTCTTTGTTAATAACCCATTAATTTATGTGTTTTTATTGTGTTGTAATATTTATCAAAATTTACATATATTTTTATTATTGTACGAAATGAATATTGATCTATTGTAATATTTAAAGCATACACTTATAATGATGCTCCATGTGTTTTTCAAGTCTTTCCTTTCTAACAAGTTTAAATAAGGTTTTCCTTCAAAATTAATACAAAAATTAAGGGATTTTTAACATAATATTTCTAGCTAAGAGACAAGCATTTAGCTATAGTTTAATCATACAAAAAATTTATTTATGTGGATATACTTTATTTAAAAAGTTTGGCTACAATAAGATGTGGTTAGGCAGCCTTGAAATTAGTGTATGTTCAAACAATATTTACATAAAAAGAAATGAGATTAGTTACTTAAGGGACAAAATTCAAATTCACAAGGTATATAACCAAAGAAAATCAAACCCTAACTTGTATAAAAATTCAGAACAAGCTAACAATCTTTAGCCACCATCACTTTATTGCAAGCTATCAGAAATCATGACACCAAGCTCGTATTGTCATCCAACAGGTCTTCCCAAGTTTTGATGATGGTATTACCTCTAATTAAGCTCACTCTGCCTTGTTCCACTCCTTTGCAATATTAAGCCCATCAGATGAAAACTTGCATAACTAGCTAGACAACATTTTTATTGTGTTTATCAACATAAATCCAAACAAATAATAAACTTTATTGAGATAAAAGTGCCTGTTTGGTGTTGGAAAATAAAAAATTTATCTAAATAGCCAACAAGATCATAAAATAGCATAGGTAGATAGTTTTCTAAAGTTGCCAACCTATTCTAAAGAGCAAAAAACTAATTTCTAGAGTTTTGTACTTAAACAAAGATTAAAATGATTAAATCATGTTATTCTCTAAGCCTTCAAAATGTTGTATGATTTGGTATCTTAATGAAAACATGAGTAATAGTTATAAAAATTTTACCTTTATCTTCACATTATAAAAACATGATTTTTCTACCTATATGCTTTTGGCTTAAGTTCTGTTAAAGCCCAAAACCTAATGTTGTTCAACCTACTTAAGCTAACTCAAAAAATGTCATTCTAGCTAACAACAACAAAGTTCAAATGTTCTAAAAGTTTTTATGTAAGTATTGGAATTGGACCACACATGTGACTTATTCTTTTTGTAACATATAGCTAAAATTAATTTATTGACCTTATTATTTTTTGTCTTTATTCTGTTTCACAAGAAAAAGTAGTCTTTATAAGAATAATAATATTTTTGTCAAAGTTCATAAGGTGATATGACCTAAGCTAAAAAAATTTATTGACACCTTATTTGGTTCCTAAAAGAATTTCAAAATATTAATTCATTGAGAAAAAGAGAAACAATTATGTGATATTGACCTCAACCTGACATTCTTTATTATTATTATTTTTATTTTTGGGGGTTTATAAAATTAGGGGATGGAGAAGGGATGACTTGGTTTGAAGCCAAATTTTTATGTCTTATTCAAGACTTCTTTATTATTAGGTCAAGAAACTGAAGGTGACATTCTTATTTACATCCTATAAAAGTTTTTATAGTGAAATAAGCATTGAATTAGAATTCCAATGATTTGCCTTTAAGATATTAATTTTTTGGCCAAAAACAAGCGCTTAAGACTTATCACTTTTCTTAGTTCGAATGTTAAGGTAGATCAAATTTATAGATGTGATAAAGGTGATTCTCTTCGATTTTCATGCAAACCAAAAAAAAAAAAAAAGCTACTTAGAAAAATGAGCCAAACAATACCATATTGATAGTAACTCCAACTAAAACTTCTAATTCTCATGGCTTCTCCTCTCCATAATTGTTCCATTATACCTTTGTTCTCAATCTTCATTTTCTGAACAACTCTTTTTTGATCCACATTTCTTAACAACTTTAACTCTTCACCAAATCCAAATATTTGCTTATGTCAAGTCAATATTTGTTGACTCAATTTCAACCCAATTTTCAGATAATATCCTTTTTCTTCATAAACAGGCAAAGTAGCTTCCAACAAAATACTAATGTTACAACATTCCCTAATATCATCATACTTCTTTTTCATCTACCATCATTACATCATCTTTCAGTTTTCTTGCATCACCTTATATAAATTGATACCACATGCCACCAAAATGAAGGCAAATTAAACTCTCATCAGTGTCAACATTTTTCTTTTTTATCATGCTTTCTTTGAACTAATTTTATAAAAAAATTACTAAAATTACACATCATTCCTCAATATCATCATATTTCTTCATCTACCATCAGTAATAATCTTTCTCTTTTCTTGCATCACCTTACATAAATCAATGCCACATGCCACCAAATTGAAGGCACAATTAAACTCTTATCAAGACATTTCTCTTTCTTCTTTCTTGTAATCTTTTCTATTGTATTAATTTCATCAAAATTTACTAAAAGGAAAGAGATCAAGTTATATAAAAAAAATTTACAACTTTTTACATTTTTTTTAATCATTAATTTCAATAAATCTTAAGGATGAGAGATAAGTAAAAAAAAAAAAGAAAGAAAAATAGTTTACTCTCATCCTTTGCATCTATTGAAATCAATGATTTAAAAAAAATATAAAACTAAAAAATTTTATACTGAGTTGATCCCTCCCTTTACTAAAATTATACACTCGTCTTAGTTTTCTCCATTGGTGCCTTACCTCTTTGCTAAATTCCAATAATCATCGATAGTCAGTGTTTAATTAACAATTATCAAATTAATTTCTAAATCTTTATTTTCCCAAAAATAAAATCCAATCAACTCCCTAACTGCAATAAAATTGAATGCTCACAAAAAGTAAATAAATAAAACTAGCCAATATGAAATCGTATGTCGTTACATAAGGTAACTTATATAAGATTTACGACTTTGGCATCCCAATGACCTCGTTGCAAACCCCATGGAAACAAGTGCATGTGCATATTTTTTAGGCCTAAAACACGAGAATGCCATCTCAAATAAGAATATCTAAAGGCACCTTAAAATTTCAACCAAAAAAAATCCTCAACTTGAATTACTACAAATTCATTTACTTTAGTTCTTGACATCCACCTCATAAAGCAAGATCCTCCTTTAAGTTTATTGCATTTCTCTTGCCCTGAGCCCAGTTCTCCCGCAGCCTTCCTCTTGTTAACCCCACTAAAAATGTCTCTATCGGGGATACGACAATCCTCGATTTATTATCCCCAGCAAACGTCCCATGTTTAATGTTTCTTTCGCATAACTTTATGACCAGCACTGAAGAGGACAGCCGTACAGGCAACGGACCAAACCAAAGCCCTTGTCTACTTCGTTATCAGATATGATAAAAATAAAAAAGACTATAAATAGATTGCTTCCTATGACCTAAGGGAAAAAAATGTCATTCCGTACGAATATAGCGAAGTGACTAGAGAAACCCAGCAACACAAATCTGATTGCTGGATCTTCTCTAGGACTTTAATCATTTTGATCGGTCACATACAAGTGGAGGAAATGCATTGAATAGAATACTATAATGTCATGCAGGAGCAGCAGCAAGTCAGCAACAAAGAACAAATTTTTTTTAACGCAAAAGCAAATATCATAAAATTGCGTTAATTTTTGAAGTTTGAAAAAAATAAAGTTAAAATAAAACACGATATAAAAAGCATATTTAACAAGAGCGACAAATTTAAAAAAAAATTATATTAAATTTATTTATATAATAATAGCTGACTTCGACATGGAAAAGTAATAAAAAGTAAAACTAAATCATTAGGGCTTTTATTATTTTTATAAATAACGGACTCGCATTTTGAGCCGTTCTAGACATAAAATAATAGAAAAGCACTTAAGTCCCTAAAAATAGGAGCTCTAGATCCCTAAGGATCAATTACGGCATTAATGAAGAAGAGAAATTATAGTATATAAAATAATAAGTGCAGAGAAAGAAAGGAAAGGAAAAGACGAAAACGTACGCTAACAACAAAAAATGAGAAAAAAAAATCAACTTAGGTATTACTAAAGCTGTTTGAATTATCTTTTTTGACTTTCCGTTGACTCACTCGAAGACCAAAAGGCAGAACAAAAAACAGAAAGAGAGATGTAGAAAAAAGAGGGATAGGGAGGCCGAGAAGCGCGTACCTCTCGGAGCTAGAGAACTCGTAGAGCTTGCCGCCGCTGGAGAAGATAACGAGAGCGATCTCCACGTCGCAGAGAACGGAGAGTTGACGAGCCTTCTTGATCAAGCCTGAGCGCCGTTTCGAAAAGGTGACTTGGCGGCTGCTCTTATCTTCGATTCGCTTCATCTCCACCTTCCTCCTCCCCATTTTCGGTTAGTTTTTGCCCTAATTGTTTTGTCTTCCGGAGAAGAAGAAGAAGAATAGAGAGACTAAAACAGTAAGTTGATGGAATAATTGATATAACTCGGCACTTAGGGGCAGTAGTAGAAGAAAGTCAGTAGGTCAATGTATGGTCTTAGTAAACGTATATTTCTTTGACACGTGGATTACAGGCGTGTCGTCTTTCATTGCGGCCGCTTTTTCTCTTAGTCGTTTCCATTTATTTACTTCTTTGCTCTCCTTTTTTCAGTGGTTTTTATGGAGAGACCATTTTGGCATTTTCTTAGTTGGATACAGATTTGTTGGTTTGCCGGTTTATTGGTAGATTTTTTATTTAATTTATTTTTTATTAATTATTTATTATAATATTTTATTTGTAATTTCATAAAACAAAAATTAAAGAATTTTTTTACATTATAAAATTGATTAATTTAAAGCTTTTTGCATGTGCACCAATTTTGTTTTGATATTTGCTATAACAGGAAAGTATTGCAAGTCTACAATCTAAATTTAGAATTTTTTTATCAATGTCTGTTAGTTTAAGTGATAAAAAATTAATTTTTTTAAAATAAAATTTTAATTTTGAATCTTATAAATAAAAAAAAGTGTTAAGAGAGTTTATATTTTTTATGAGATCTGATTTAGTTTGATTTCAAAATAATCGAGATTTAAAATGACTATTGAATATTAAAAAATTTTTGATAAAAAAATTAAAATTTTTAAGTAAATTTTAATGTTGAATTTGCAAATAATAAGAAAATAAATCACATCATATATTTATGAATTTGTATATTATTTTATTTTCATTTTCATCTATTATTTTTAAAACTTAATTTTTGCATTCACAATCATCTACTTAAATATTTTAGTGACATATTTTATTTAAAATTTTAATGATAGTTAATGATAGTGATATTCATAATTTGATTTTATTCGAATTAATTGATTAAATTAAATTAATTTTATTAATTAATTATTATTAAATTAAGTTTGATCAATTTAAAAATAATAAATTTGATTTAATTAATAAAAATAATTAATTAATTTAATTAATTTAATTTAAAATTAATTAAATCAATTGAATAAATATTTTTAATTAATAAAATAAATCTAATTTATTTTTTAAAAATTATATTTAAAAATTAAATTATAAACATCATAATTAAAACTCACGCCCACGTGAACCCCAGATGATTGGTTAAGTACTATATAGATAAAAAGTCGATATGTACCATGTCCCGTCTTACTTACAGCTCTTGAAAGGTCAAAATAATAAACAAACCACCAACACTTGTCGGTTTGAATGGTTAAAAAATTTTAATTAAGAAAAATTTTGATTTTAAATTTAATAAATAAAAAAACCTTTTAGAGAATTTGTTTTTGTAATTCGATTTTAAATTAATCAAAGTTTAAACTAATTTTTGAATATCGAAAGATTTAAAAACAAATCAAAGGATAAAGTAATAATTAATTAAATGCGATTAAAACTGGGGGGGCCGTGTGGGGTAGCAGAGTCCAGATACTGGAATGTCTCTCACCTCAGCAGCGTGTGCATCATATTTTGCCACGTTTGGAAATTCACATGCGATTTTTTTTTGGTACATAATTCACATGCGATTTTCACAGTATTCACTGCAATTGGGAGTTGCGAAGCGCTAAAGGCGGAAAATGAATAAAGACAGCTTGAGACAAGGCCCGCGGTGGCCCCACTTGTCCCCTCACAGTCCCGGGCCGGATCCAGTGTCTGAAAGCGGAACAAATTAATCCTACAGGGTTGCGGGCAAGACTAAACCGCGGGAGGCCGGAGGTCTGGGCCACAGCTTTCCGTAGCCAATCATTGTTTTCGATCTCTAGTATTTGATATAGGTCCAAAGGTTCAAAAAGCTCCTACATAAGAATTAAATAATTAATTTTTTATTACAATTAATAAAATCTTCATATTTATATTTTCAATTAAATAAATCTTAAATTTGATCAAAATTATTTATACCATTAAGTTGAATTACACTTGAAATTTAATAAATATATAACACATGATGTAAAGATTTTTACCAAGAGCCACGATGGAAATTAGGACATGAATTAAGTCAGCTCGAGTTATCTATCGATTTTTTTTTTAAGAAATAAAAAATTAAGTTTTTTTTTCTAATTCATTTCTTTATCTTTTTTAAAAAAACTTTTTTTTGCTCTTTTAAACTCAAAGCTATTGACCAATAATTTAAACATAAACCCAAAATTCTACAGTCGACCATCATCATCGTTATCATACTCCACCATCAATAGTGACGTTGTTCACCATGTTGCGACTAGTAATGGTGTCGAAAACCAGTTCCCCTCTTTCTTGTTTTTCTCGCACCAGATCGAAACAATACCTAACTCTATTGAAACCTAAAAGGCCGAAAACCCTCCATCGTTAGCCTTTTTCATTTTCTACTGTGGCTTCCCCTTTTGGGGCATGAGGTTGTTTTTGAGTTTTTTTTTTTTGTTAGAAGTTTGATTGGTATTCGCTCGATGATTTTGGTTTCAGTGGATGCGGTTTAAAGCCTTTGGATATGGGTGAGAGATGGAAGTTACAAGCTAAGGTTCTTTTAGTGGTTCAAAGGGGGTTTTGGGTTGAGTGGAGTAGGCTATGGGTGGTTTTTTTTTTTTTTTTAGGTGGTAGGTTAGGTTGAATAATGGTGATTGCAATGGTGGGTTTCGATGGTGACAAGGTTAGATGGGCTTTTTTATTTTTGGTAAGAGGGACAGTGGTTGAGGGTGTCGAGTTTTGTGGTTTTTTGTTGGTGACAAGGGGTCTCGGTTGTTAGTCTTAAATTTTCAGTGATGATGATTGTTAGTTGTGAGTGGTTGATTTTTTTAAAGTATGAAAGATTTGGCCTTAGGTTTTTTTTAAAGTATGATGATTACTAGCTTTCAAGATTTAGCTTTTGGGCTTCTAGAATTGCACTGCTAACTTTAGAGATTTGGCTTAAAAGGTTTAGGGTTTTGATTTCGTTTTAAGGGTTTTCAAAATTGTACTTTCAACTTTTGAGATTTTGTTTAAAAGGTTTAGGACTTTGATTTTGTTTTAGGGTTTAAGTATAGAATTGAGTTGATTTAATTGACTTTATGAAATTTCAGATTCGAGAAATAGATTAGAGATTTTAAAAGGTTTGAGAGGTTTCTTCAAGTTATGTAATTTGTTTTTTTATTTCTAAATATTACAAATAAACCTCAAAAAAAGAATTTTCAATTTTTTTTTACTTTTATTTTATCACCAATCATAAAATGTCACGTGTATAATAAATAGTAGGAAAAATCTAACCAAAAGCCATGATGGAATCAGATTTCCATGTCATGTGCCACGTAGTTATTAAATGCCACGTGGAATTCAACTTAATAGCATAAATAGCTTTCATCCAATTTAGGGTTTATTTGATCAAAAATAAAAGTAAAGAGGTTTTATTAATTACAATTAAAAATTAAGGGCTTAATTGATTATTCAATTTTTGTTTAGGAAAATTTTGAACCCTTAAACCTTTAATGTACTACTTTTAGTTAATCAAGTGCATATTCTTGAGTCCTACCCAAAAAAAATATTTTTTTATTTAAAATTATCTTATCATTAAAATTTAAATGTTTTATTAAAAACTTAATTTTAAATATCTTCTAACTAAGGTATTATTTTGTTGTTAAACTATTACTTATAGTAATATAGTATCCAATTTTTATTAATTTAATATTTTAAGTTAAATATAATAATTTATGTATTTATATTGTGTTTGTTTTGTGTCAAATGTGTATAAAATATAAAAATTATTATGTCATAATTTGTATTGATTTGTTAAAAAAAACGTATATTTTTTAGATTTTTTGTTTAACTATGTCATGATTTTTTTTTGTATTATTTTGTTTCATGGTATCATGTCATATTTAAAATTACTAGATCTATCTTGCACATTTATTAAGCAACTACTTATAAAAAATAACATAAAGCTTAATGTAGTAATTAATAGGTAATTTGATGATTTTGTATGATATTGAGAATAAGAAAGTTTTAAAGCATGCAAATGCTTTTTTTTGGGCTAGCTAGACTAGAAAAGATTTACATTTTAAACAAAATTTTAAACCATAATTTCTACATATATGTTTTCTAACAAACATGAAATTGCTAATTATGCTTTAATGAACTAAGCCAATCCATGTTAAGTATTAGTTTTATAGATAAATAAATTCGTTAAATTTATTCATGTTTCTCCTTTAAAATATGTAAATTGAAACAATAATAATGTGTTGTAACCGTTAAAAACAAACAAAAAAAACTCATAGAAACAAACATGGGATATAATTCATAATAGTGATTTCATGTTTGTTAATATGCATATAAGAAAAGATGCTATAGTTAATGAGGTTAGTAATATGGTTTCTATGGACAATTGATAAGCTAATTTTTGTCCTGCAAAGCATAAAAAAGAAAGAAAAAAAATGTTATTCCAACTTTTCGATTATGGAACTTGATTTTATTAATTGTCTTGATCCAAACATAGTAAACACTTTTGCATGTTGATTCTTTAATATCTATTACATAATATAAAAAGTTGCCCCCAATTGATTTTAACATGGACAACTTAATAATGTATTAAATGGGGATTGAGTGATTAGTTTAGGTAAAAACTCTCTTCAATTGTTTCTTGCTTGGAACTACAAAACAGAAGCTTTTTGAAAAAAATTTCAAAGATGAAAAAAAAGCTTATAGAGAAGCTTTGAAGACTGACATGGGTGAAAATAATAAGCAAAAGAAAGAAAAAGGGAAAAAAACAATAAAAAAATGTAGAGGGAATCAGTTATCGACATCCATAAATAACACTTTTTCAAACTCACTCATTAGTTAGCTAGACTCTGAAAAACTTGACCCTTCTGTTCGAGCAAGTCCGAGAGTTGTGTCTATTGTGGTTGCAACATAAGTAGCAAAGCATCATTTTTTAAGGTGTTATGCTTATTTTCTTTGT